CCCTGACACCCTTCGCTCGGTCAGGGACCACTTCCTCTCTGTTTGCCCCACCACACTCACCGTTGACCTCGTCAAGGAGCGCCTCCTGGCAGCTGAGAAGAGTATAGTCGCTGTAGGAGCCTCTCGTGGTGACCCTCGTACCCCCTTCTTTGAGGGGTGCTCCCCCTCCCCACTTTTGCCCTCTGTTGCCTCTGCTGCTGCCGTCGACTTCGTTGGCACCGAGTCGGTCGACGCTGCGTCTGCCCCTAGCGGGAGACGCCGCACCGGCAAGGGCAAGGGGGGCAAGGGCGCTGGAGGGGCTGGCGGGGGCGGTGGAGGTGGCGGTGGAGGCGGCGGAGGGAGTGGGGGTGGCGGTGGGAGTGGTGGCGGGGGTGGGGGCTTCGGTGGCGGCGGTGGAGGCGGAGGCGGCGGCGGCGGTGGCGGTGGGAGCGGAGGAGGAGGCGGTGGCGGCGGTGGCGGAGGTGGCGGCGGCGGAGGTGGAGCTGGTCGGGGTGGCTCTGCGCAGCGGGGCAGCTTCGGTGGTGGTCAGCGCCAGCAGCAGCAGCGCACTCGTGAGACCCCGCCCCCCCAGCAGCTTCGTGAGTGGTACGCTGCGCGTCAGCGGGGTGGGGGTGCTGGTCCTTGTGCCTACGTCCTGTGTACCGGCGACCGCACTGGTGAGCCGTGCGGTGGCCCGCACACCACCCAGCGCTGCTTCGGCCGCCTGACGGACGCTTGGCGTCTCCAGTTCCCTGACGCCACTGAGATCCCCCGCTGGGGCGAGCTGCTTAGGTCGGGGGTTGCTATCTTTGATCTGGATTATGATGCTATTCTTGCTGCCATGTATGTTGTGTCTACTAGTGATGAGGGTGACTGTTACCTGTGTGTTCCGCCTGACCCGGGCATTGAGGCTGCTGCTCTAGGTGCTGGTGAGGCTGCTGCTCTAGGTGCTAGTGCGTCTGCTGCCCCAGGTGCTGGTGAGTCTGCTCTCTCAGGTACCACGTCGGCTCAGGCCTTACACACCTTCACCCTTGACTCGGGTGCTTCCCGCTCCTTCTTTCGAGACCGCACCACGCTTACGCCGCTTAGTCGGCCAGTTGCGGTCTCCCTGGCGGACCCCTCTGGGGGTCCTGTCCTTGCCCACTTCTCCACTGTCTTACCGTGTTCGGCGCCCCCCTCTGGCACCCTGTCAGGTCTCTACCTCCCCTCGTTCTCTACGAACTTGGTGAGTGGTGCTGATCTACAGGATGGGGGGGTTGACCAGTTCACTCCTGCGAGTCAGCGGGTGACCCACTGTACGTGTGCTCGGACGGGCCGACACTTGGCCACGTTTACCCGTCAGCTGGGGTCGAGCCTGTACACACTGACTACTGAGTCTCCTCCGGTTGCTGAGTCTGGTCACGTAGCTGCGTCGGGTCAGGTGTTTGCTGCAGCGTCCAGGTCTGGTCCTGAGTCTGCTCCCTGCTCGTGTCGTCTCCTGTCCCACCGGACTCTCCTCTGGCACCACCGCCTTGGTCACCCCTCCCTGCCTCGTCTCCGAGGCATGGCCTCCCGTTACCTTGTCTCTGGTCTCCCCTGGTCCCTCCCTCCCCTCCCTCCGGGGCCTGCCCCTACCTGCGTTCCCTGCGTCGAGGGGCGGCAGCGCGCCGCTCCTCACTCCTCCGAGTTTCCTCCGACAGAGGCTCCGCTGCAGACTCTTCACATGGACGTGTGGGGCCCCGCCCGCGTCCGTGGCCAGGGTCACGAGCGTTACTTCCTGTTGGTGGTTGACGACTATTCGCGTTACACCACGGTTTTCCCCTTGCGCAGCAAGGGTGACGTCACTGAGGTGTTGATCGACTGGATCCGCGCAGCTCGTCTCCAGCTCAGAGAGAGTTTCGGCTCGGACTTTCCTGTTCTGCGTCTGCACTCTGACAGAGGCGGAGAGTTTTCCTCTGGCCTTCTGGGAGCCTTCTGTCGTGCACAGGGCATCCGCCAGACGTTCACGCTTCCGGCCTCTCCACAGCAAAATGGGATTGCTGAGCGCCGCATTGGCATGGTCATGGACGTCGCTCGTACGTCCACGATTCATGCGGTTGCTCCCCATTTTCTGTGGCCGTTCGCGGTTCAGTACGCGGCGCATCAGATCAACCTTCAGCCCCGAGTCTCCTTGCCGGAGACCTCCCCTACTCTGCGGTGGACGGGGAAGGTTGGCGATGCGTCTGCGTTTCGTGTCTGGGGACCTCGGGCTTTTGTCCGCGACTTGTCTGCAGACAAGCTGTCCCCCCGTGCTGTTCCCTGCGTCTTCCTTGGCTTCCCCCCGGACGCGCCTGGTTGGCAGTTTTACCACCCCACCTCGCGTCGTGTTTTGTCCTCCCAGGACGTCACGTTTGACGAGTCGGTTCCTTACTACCGTCTCTTCCCCTACCGCACTGCGCCCCTCCCCCCGCCGCCGCTCTTCCTCGCGCCAAGTCCCCCCCGGTAGACCCCCTTCCCCCTCAGGGTCCTGCCCCCTCAGGTGTGTCCCAGGTTGACGCAGTCGAGCCTGTCGAGGTAGCTGTTGACTCTGGTGCTGCTCGGGGTGCTGAGCCTGCGGGTGCGGGGCCTGGGGGTGCTGAGCCTGGGGGTGCTGAGTCTGGGGGTGCTGAGCCTGGGGGTGCTGAGTCTGGGGGTGCTGAGCCTGGGGGTGCTGAGCCTGGGGGTGTGGAGCCTGAGGGTGCTGGGCCTACTCGTGTGGAGTCTGGCAGTGCTGGGTCTGGGGGTCCCTCGGGTGCTTCGTCCCGGCGGGAGCTCCCCTCTCCTCAGGAGCTGCGCGAGTGGTTTGCTCGGCGCTGGAGCCGTGCTGCCGGAGCTGGAGGTGCTGCTGGCGCTGGCGGTTCTGCTGCTACTGAGGGTGTTGGTGCCACGGGTTCCGGAGGTGCTCGTACTGGAGGTACTGGAGCTGCTGAGCCTGGGGGTGCTCCTTGTGCTGGATTTGCTGGTGGTGCTGGAGCTGCTGGTGGAGCTTCTGGAGCAGGTGCTGCTGGAGGTGCTGGAGCTACGGCTGTCGAGTCTTCCGGTGGTCCGGCTGGAGTTGGAGCTGCAGGGGGTGTTGGCGCTGGAGGTGCTGCTGGCGCTGGTGCTTCTGAGGGTGCTGGAGTTGGTTAGATACTAAGGGGTACACAATTCTAGGGTTTCATATTTGTATCACACTCAAACCTTAGTCAATCATTCCTCATTCTTTCACAACGATGACTCGCCACCAGTCCATGGCGGGGCCCCTTAGCAGCGAAACGGCATACCGAATCTTCGCTGCGTCTGACTCGACGTAATTGGCGTCGAAGAAGACGTTCATCGTGAAGACCCACGATTGAACCGTCGGACCTCCACGCTGGCTCGGGTCGAAGCAGGGCGGGCGTTGCGGCTTGAGTGGCATTGGTGCCATAATGGCCTGTTCGCCACTTGTCGCCGCGAACTCCACGTGCCGACGGGCTTCGCGAGGCTCCCGCGGGCTTGGTGCGACCCTGTTTCCTCCCATGCCAGGCATCGGCTGGGCGGCACCATCGCTGGCTGCGCCTGAGCGCTGTCCCACGCTGTTGTTTTGTGTTGGTGTGCCGGACGAGATGACGATCGGCTCGTCTGATTGTGCAGATGCATTTGTCGGTGCGTGTGGTGGCGCTGGAGTGTTCATCGTTGATTGTTGACGCGCGGAGTCACGTTCCGCCGTGAGCGTCGCAATTTCGAGCGTCGAATCTTCAAGTTGGCGCACCAGACGGTCGAGCTGCTCCTGCGTCAATGTGGCGAGCGTGAATTCGGCCATGGCGGGGGTGTCGGGCGAGCTCAGCGAGAGCCTCGGTCGTGGCCGTGCGTGCTTACGAGAGAGCACTACAAGCGGCGGTGCTGTGTCGCTGAGAGACGTCTACCCCCCCCAAAAATTGAGGTAGTGGGGAAGCGAAGGTGTGGGGGCGGTCCGAGAGGAGATCGTAGGCTCTGAATACCAAGTGTTACGAGTGCAAGTGAGTGAACGAACGAGAATTGCACTATCGAAGCAAGAGTACAATGAGCGAAGGCATGAGCGAAGAATATATAGCGAAACTACAGTGGTAACGGTAATGGACTGTGGTTGTCGCGCGACGGGCCTGGGACTGAGGTTGGGAAAAAGTGTCGAAGCGGAGGCCCGGAGCGCGGGTTACCCGCCGAGCCGTAAGGTCGGGGTGCGATGTGCGAAGGTGGCGGGCGGATTGTCGATGCGAGGGTTGCGAGTGGTAACGGTGCTGACTGTGGTGCTACAGTGATGTACGCGTTGAGCAGGGATGCGAAGTAAGGAAAAGGAAATTTCCTTACAGCTATGAAGATTGAATATTTTGGCTTGTCTCTATGTATTTCGTTCTGAATGTTATGACCATAAACTGGAAGTGTAATTTTCAAAGATGTGGTTGTTGGAGACAAGTGCCTTGCCACCATCCTCCTTGTCCTCACGCGCCTCTTCCCTTATCGCCTCGCCATTGTCGCCGTTGTCGTGCTGAATCCTGATTCCTGGATCCTCCTGATCGCCGCATTGATGACTGCCTCCCTCCCTCCCTCCGCTCCGTACTGTCGGGTTGTGCACTACGTACACTGTACTGTACTATTCTGTACTGTACACCACCTTACGAATACAGTGCACTACAGAACTGCATTCTGTATCTCATCTATCACAACTTCCCGCACCAAGGTGAAGACATCCCCTCGCCCAAATCCCGGTCCCGATGAGAGCCCCTCCATCTCATTGCAGCCTACACTTGGAAGGTTGATGGGATGAGACTCCAGACGTGAGTCACGGACGGCACTCCAAAACGACGACTTTCGTCCACACAATCAGCGATGCGACTTGCTGACTCTCCGCGCTTCACACGTAGTGTCCTGCGCTGCGGACAACTCGTGCCTGGAGATAAATTTCCCGACCAATGTTTGGCACTTTTTTAAATTTCCGCCATGTCGTGACATATTCGACTTGCCGATCTGTCCTATGCGATTAGGGATCCTAATTTATTCTCCCAGAGCTGGATGATTGGCAATCGCTCATGTCGATTTACGCGTCGCCGTACGACGCGTCAGACGATGGCGGCATGCCGGACGAGCTTCCCCGAACCATCAGCCTCGAGCGGTCCTTCGCTGCCCTTTATGGCTTGCAGAACAGCCAGCAGCAGCAGCAACAGCAGCAGCAGAGGAAGTTTCGCGGATGGACTAAGATGGGTTCATTCTTCGGTTCGTCCAATTCCAACGCAGCTGCTGAAGCCTCCCGCCGGGCCTCCGCTGCGGGTTCGTCAGCGGAGGATCGGAAAGCAAATGCGGCCCCGTCCCTGCTACGAACAGTATCGCTACCCAGTCGCGCCGCTGCGCTGAAAGCACAGCGGCAGCAGCAGCAGCAGCAGCAGCAGCGGGAGGTGCAGCAGCAGCAGCGGGAGGTGCCAAGGACGGGGCGATCGGCGGAGGAGGAGGAGAGAGAGAGGCAGCGGCAGATCGAAATGTTCGGCACCGTTCTTGCTGATGACGTGCCCCTCCCCCCGCCGGTACGCACCATTCCCGATCACTCATCCCCCTCCAGTACGCACCATCACTCATCACCCGTCGAGCCTCCTTTGGGTTGCGGCGCGTGTGTGCGAGATCCGACCGACGATCGCGCGCGCTGCCTTGGAGCACCGTTGCTTCAACGCCCCTCCTCGCTCGCCTAACCCCGCCACCTTTGCTCTCTCTGCCCACCTTCCCCTCTTCCGTGCCTCCTCCCCTCACCCCCCGCCTACCCAAGCAGGGATATGATTACGGCGCCGACCTCTCCCCCGACCACCCTTCGTTCCCTTGCCCAGCCGCAGCAGCGCCGCCGTCGCCGCCTGAAGCGGCGGTGGGTCAGGGGTACGGGGGGCGACCGGGCGCGGATTACGAGGACGGCAGTAGCGACGGGGAAGGCGACCGCTCTGGGATAATTGGAGCAGCCGCAGGGGGGAGGGGAGGGGGGAGGCGGGTGAGGGCGGAGTATTGCCCGCGGGCAGTGCGTGAGTTTAGGCGCACGACGTCGTCCCCCGTGCCCAAGTGCCCGCCTGCTTCCGCGCCCGTGGGCGCGGCGGGCGCAAGAGACCGGCGCCTGGCGGGGGACTGTGTGGGAGCGACCTTCAACGGGCCCTTCAGCAGCGGCGAGGCCGCCGGGGGCGGAGCGAGCATGGGCGGCGGCGGCACTGCGGGTGGCGGCAGGGCGGACGACGAAGTGCGCGTTGGCGGTGGGGGCGCTGGGATCGGCGGGGGCGCTGCGCCTGCTGGTCGCGCCACGAGCGGAACCGCAGGGGCCATGGGGACTCCGTCCCGCGCGTCTGGGCCGTTTGTTGCGCCTCCTGCCGCCAGCAGCAAGCCGCCCGTGAGAGGCGGGTTTGGGCGCAGCACGAGTGTCACACAGACGCAGGGGAATGCGGCGGAGGCCGCCGCTCCTTCGGGCGTGGCTGGAAGCGGCGGGGGTGGTGCGGGGGGAGGGCGCAGGGGGTTCCGGCGCGCCATGTCGATGGAGCTGCGGCCGCGCGCGAGAGCCAACAGGGCGCCGCTCGCCCTTAACCCGCTCGACGCCTCCCCGCCAGCAAGCAGCGCTGCCAGCGCATTCCCCCGGCCGCCCGTCCCATGGGCAGCAGCGGACGATCCTTGCTCCCCCTCTGCCCCCCTCCCTCCCCCCCAAAAGCAGCCGCCCCCGTCCCTCCCCGCGTCGTCCTCCCCCTTCGGCCGTCCTCCCCCCGGCAGCAACCACAGCGCCCGCGGGTGGGCGGCGTGGACGCAGGCAGATGAAGCCTCCCCCAGAGCCGCCTTCGCGCCGCCCTTCTTGCGCTCCTCGTCCGTCGGAGGCCCCTCCCCCTCCGCCCTGCGCAACCGAGAGCTGCCCCCGCCCGCCCCCCCCTACAGCGCGCACCCGAACCCACATGCAGGGATAGGCGCGTGGGCAGGAGCAGGCGGAGGGGGAATGGGCGCAGCGGCGGGCGGAGGGTATGGGTGGGCATCCCTGGGGTCGCAGCGGTCGTTAAGTCCCGAACGCGCGGAGTCCAGCCAGGTGAGCCGCGCAGGGCGCGGGGGGGGGGTGCGGCGGGTGGGCAGGCGGGGAGGTTCAATGCGCGAGAGAGGTGCAGACAGGACAAGCGCGAGGGAGAGGCATGGCAGCGGGGCGAGTTGCCCTCATGGCATGCCCATGCACTCGTACCTCCTCATGAATCTCTTTCGTTTGCCCCCTCTCAACCCTCCCTTATGCTCCTCCCCTTTCCCCCCGCCCTGCCCCTTACGGCAGGGGCCGCTGGGTCTGGTGCAGGAGAGCAGCGAGGAGGGCGAAGAGCCGCGCGTGGGGGGAGGCGTGGGGGAGAGACTGGGCGCAGGGGGAAGGGGCTCCAGGGAGCGGAGTGGAGAGAGGTATGGGGGAGCGAGGAGGATGGGTGGGCGGGCGAGGGAAGGCAGGGCGAGAGGGCGAGATGAGGAGAGTGAGAGCGAGAGTGAGAGTGAGAGTGAGAGTGGAAGTGGGAGCGAGAGTGGGAGTGGGAGAGAGAGGGGCAGTGGGAGTGGGTCGGGAAGCGAGAGTGAAGAGGACAGAGGGGGGCGGAGAGCCCAGCAGCAGCGACCACGTGTGGGCGGCGGGGCACGGGCGCTTGGGGAGGGGCGGGGTGTAGTGGGGGGGAGGGGGAGGTGGGAGGGGCGGGGGAGGGTTCTGCAGGGCGTAGTGGGCAGGGGGAGCGTGGGCAGGGATGGACTAGCACGGGGGGTTGGGGGAGCGATGGGGGCAGCAGGGGGGCCGGCGTGGGAGGGGGGGGACGAGGAGGCGGGGGAGGAGAGTCCTCGCGAGGCGACTGTGCGGTGTGTGGCGCCGTCCATGCACTCGCTGCTGCGCCTCGCCTCCCACTCGCGCCACCGCAGCCTCGACGCCTCCCCCTCCTCCGCCTACCCCTCCGGCTCCCCCGTGCCCCTCTTCCGCCCCGTTTCCCGCCCCGCCCCCCCTGCCTGCGCCCGCAGCCCTGCCCGCCTGGGCGCGTGGGGAGCAGGGGGGGGGGCAGGGCGCGTGGGGGGGTCGCCTGGGAGAGAGGGGAGTGGCGGAGGGGGCGAGGAGGAGGAGAGCGTGATGCTGCTGCGGGCGAGCACTTTGCATGAGAGCAGCACTAGTAGCAGCAGGCGTGGTGGCTGGCATGAGGAGAGGCAGGCAGAGGCAGGGGGGCAGGGCAGTGGGGCAGGCGTGGGGGGTGCGGTGCAGGTGGGTGGGAGGGAGGCGAGGAGGGGGTTGGTAAGGTCGGCCAGTGGGGTGGAGCCGAGGCACTGCCGCAACCGCAGTGCGGGCGGCGGCATGAGCATCGGCGCCACAGGCAGCGTTGGCGTCGCTGCCTCTTCCGCCATGGGGCCCTTTGAGAACTCGTTTCTTCCCAGAGCACCGGCAATAGCACCTCCACCTGCAGCAGGGCAGGCCCGAGTGGATCCTCTCAACCCTCGAAGGGGTCTGGTTCGGTCGGCCAGTGGAGTGGAGGCGAGGCACCGGCGGGAGAGGAGTGGAGGAGGTAGCAGCAGCGGCAGTGGGGGGGGTGCAGGCATGGGGTGGTTGGCGGGCAGCATGGGGGCAGGAGAGCAGGTGAGCTTGGGGGAGGAGGGGCAAAGTGAGGCGAGAAGGGCGTTCACGCGGTCGAGCAGCGGCGTGGAGGCGCGGCACAGGAGGCAGCGCAGCAGCGGTGCTGGCGGCACGGGCGGTGCGGGCGGCATTCTCGGCTCGCTGATGCTGCGCCCGGTTGCAGCAGATGGAGGCACGGCGGGCGACAGGGACGGTGGTGGTGAGGGCAAGGCGAGCAGCAAGGGGGGGGGCTTTGGGTTGGTGCGCATGGCTACGATGGAGAGGCGGCGCGGCAAAGGCCGCAGCAACTCCGTGGTGGATGACAGACTGGCCGTCAGCCCCTTCCAGGACCTCTCCTGGGATTAGCGTTCCATGTGTGGACTGCTCCGGGGTTGCAGTATTTATGTCACCAGGTAGAAACAAGGATAGTTGCGATGTGGTGATTAGGGGCTGTGGACCCTCGCCCACGTTTGGCTCTGGGAAGTTCAGAAGCTTTGATCTGGACCCCATTTATGTTTTGCTGATGATGGGGAGCGTGGGGGCACACAGCATTTATTCAGGCAATTACTGTGCTTCCTTCCCCCAGCCCCGACTCTTGACTAAACATGGACCATGAAAGAAAACATGGCGAGGTGGTGTTTGTGGTGCCAGGATTGCCACAGTGCATGTTGAGACACGCATCCTCTTCGTGTCTCAGAGTCAGGGTTCAGGTTGCCTGAACTTTTTGTGGTTCTGGACTGTATTATGGAAGACAATCTTCTTCACTTATAAATGCGAAAAATCCGTTGATGCATACCAAAATTCTGGCCAAAAAACCTATCAAAAATGTATCCATCCAGAATGGGTTACAGCGTCATGTTTACGTAAGGGTGGTCTGGATGAGGAGACGAGCAATCACGTAGGGATCAGCGTTGGCAGCAGGACGCCTGTCCTCGAGGTAGCCCTTCCCTTCCAGGGCAACACCCAGAGGAATACGAATAGAGGAACCGCGGTCAGCAACACCAGACCTGCAAAGCAGGATAACATTGCAGACGTTAGTAGACAACTCTAAAACTCGGCAGAAGTTAAAACGCAACAGAAAGACACTCACCTGAAAGTGTTGATGTTGGCAGTCTCGTGCTTGCCGGTCAGCCTCTTCTCGTTGCCAATGCCGTAGTTAGAGATGTGCTCATAATGCCTCTTCGACAGCTTCTCAACAGCTTCCTCAATAGCCTGATCAGTTTCAAAATGTGAAGTGTCAAGATTCTTTCCCAGATGAACTCAGCCACATCCCTGCTTGACCAGTACTGACCTTCATGCCACCTTCCTCGCGCATGGCCTTGGTAGAGTAGTTGGTGTGTGCGCCAGTGCCGTTCCAGTCTCCTTGCATGGGCTTGGGGTCGAGTGTTACGACAATGCCGAAGTCCTCACCAAGCCTGGAAGTTATGTAAACTCAGTAAGTCTCGCGACGGTTCAGAGGAGCAAACGACTAGCAAACGACTAGAGCACACCTGTTCAGGAGCCACCGGGCAACCATGACGTGGTCGCCGACCTCGAGAGGACCAGCAGGACCAATCTGGAACTCCCACTGTCCGGGCATAACCTCGGCGTTGATACCGCTGATCTTCAGACCGGACTGAAACGCATGACCGGGGGTTTTACAGCAACTTGAGCAATAGTGGTGGATGTTTGACAGCGACAGGAATAAAAGCTAGAGCGTTTTGGTACCTTAATGCACGCATCCATGTGTGCCTCAGCCAGAGGACGACCGTAGACAGCCTCCAGACCAACACCGCAGTAGAAGGGACCCTGGAATGAAAGTAAGCAGGCACGAGGTCAGAACCGCCGTACTGTAAGGGGCTCTAGCGGGTAATGCAAGCAAAATAAGCAACATTACCTGAGGGTCGGGGTAGCCGATCTCGGGCCAGCCGTAGACACGACCGGTCCTGCCGAACATGGTATACTCCTGCTCGAAACCGAACCAGGTATCAGCGTCCAAGATCTCAGGGTTAAGAAGATCTTGGAGCTTGCGGCGAGTGTTGGTCGCGTGAGGGGTGCTGTCAGGGTTCAACACTTCGCAAAGGACAAGCACATCGTTGCCACCGCGGATGGGATCCGGGCAAGTGAACACAGGGCGAAGGATGCAGTCGGAGCTGTGGCCCTCGGCCTGACCAGTGCTGCATTGTGAAAAAAACACACATTGAGTTCCAGCTGAGGAATCAAATCTTAGGGCTGAAACGCGATAAAACACGCGGCTCGTTTGATGGCTCACCTAGAGCCATCGAAGGACCAATCGGGGAAGTTAAGAGATCCGATTTCACGAGGGTCCTGAAGCACCTTGGTCTTCGAGCGCATCTCATTGAACTTCAAGCCCTTAGTGCCTTCCAGGCCATCCATCCAGATGTACTCAGCTCGCTGTGCGATGGCTTGCACGGAAAAGCCACCAACCTGGGAACCAATAACAGCAGTCGTTAGTGCAGCTCCAAAACAATTATAAAGAGCAGGTATAGTACTACGCTATGGGAGATTTGTTACCTTGCGGGACTGAACCCTAACGAAGGACCTGACATTAGCCTTCAGCTCATTGTTGCCAGCAAGGGACCCGCAAACGGGAACCCCGACGATCTGCCAAGCACGATGAGATAATAGCTCAATTACGCCGTATGGATAACACAATTCGACCAGAGATGCGCTCCAGTATCTCTACCTGGGAAGAGAGCTTTGAGGCACGCTGGCCGCCAAGCTTGGCAGCAGCAGTAGAGGGCAGGGTAGCCTGGAAGGTGGCGGACGCCATAGCAGCAGCGCGCCCAGATCTTGTCTGAACAGGGAAGTGCAAATGAGAGTAGGAGAAAATGGGGAAAAAGAAATGGTCTTTCACCCAAGACCCACTGGCGAACCAGGTTTGGCCTGGACAAGTAAAGGGGACCGTCGATATACCGTAACAGGTTCGGGAACGGCTGCGATTAAGAGCCGAAGTAATCGCAGAAATCATATGGGACTGATGTCCAATCGAAATGCACAGATGAGAACACTAAGTCGTTTCACGTGGATATCGCCAAACCAATGCAGCCTTAGGTTTGCTGCTAGTGGGCAAGAATGCCACGAAGGCATACACGTCGGATGGATGACGAGCCAAACCAGTCATGTGGCCCTCCCAAAGCCCGAACCTCAAAAGATACGTGAATCTCAGCGCAACCTAACCGTTCCAAATCCTTTTGTTCAAAACATTGGAAACATATCTTGTAACAGTTAATAAAAGGCTTATAGACTTCCAATATCATTCCTGGCAAGCAATGTCTCATACACTATTCATAAGTTTTAGTATAATTTTTACTCTTTATATTTTTCGGGAACAGTAAAAAATTAACGATCAACCTAGGTCGAAGCTGGTTATCGAATATAACCTTTTGGTTCTCAATTTGATTATTAACATATTCGGTAGACATGACTTGTTGCAAATCTAGGAATCACGGAACAAATAAATCACACGTTTTGGCTGGTAATATGCTGAGCTTGGCATATCTGCTTAGGAAAGTGTAGGAATGGGTAAGCATTTTCCTAAATGTATTTGTCTTTCCTTGTATTCCTTATACAATTGTGCTCTCGATACAGACGCAATGTCCCAGACTTGGCACACTAAACCAGCGCCACCAGCTGGACCCTCCCACACAGCTGCAATTGCCACTCTGCACTTCCCGCACCCAAGTTACCTGGCCATGGCGCTTCGGAAACTTCCACGAGGACACCGCGGTCGCTCGCGGTGGACAGTTGGCGTATCGCTCAGCAGTTTCGCCGCATTTTCCTCACGATACCAGGGGCCCGCCACTGTGGCGCTGGCGTCTCCCTTCTGAGCCGTCGTTGCAGCTTCCGCCGTGCTGCAGCGCCGCCGTGGATGCCGTGTCGTGCGAGGTAGATGGAGCAGCGGCGAAGCAGCGCGTGAACGAATGGAGAGTCGAGGCTTGGTTCCCGTACTGCTGGCTGTGGCGTGCCACGGCGCTTGAGATTTGGCCCGGCTTTAGGGACGGTGGCGACTCACGTATGCCGCACTTTGTCGGTCCTGCCTCAACCACTCCCCGTCTCGATTAGCAGTCGTCTCAACAAGACGCGCGAGGAGGATCCACCCGTCGAAAAAAATCATCGTCGGAGAGACTAGGGCGATCGTGAGGTATACGACTGAGAGAATACTCGGCGAGTTGGAGTTACAGTGCAGCAGAGGCGGCGGTGCTGCCGACATGGACGTTCTTCTTATGGCTGCCGGCACTCTCGGCGACGTGCTGCCGTTCCTCGCGCTCGCCATGCACCTCGCCGTGCGATACGGCCACCGAGTCAGGTGAATGGGGGGGGGGGAAAGGGAGGGGGGGGGGAGTGTTGAGCAGTGGGGTGGTAGACAACCACATCGACACAGAGCAGGAGAAAATCCAAGGTTTTGGACGGGTGGTTATTAACTTAATCAAGACGCAGAAGATGAAAGCATGGCGCGGAGACGCTATCAGCATGGGTGCCTGCCCACAGGTGTGGGGGCTGAATAGGAAGATGCCGTGGTTCTCCTTGGCATGTTATTCCTGGCACCTGCGGTGCTGCCTTGTGCCGCCAATCACTGCACGTGCTTGAGCACAGAAACGCGGGGCGCAAGCGAGTGGTGGTTGGGCTCTTTCACGCTGCAGCCGGGGGAGCTCTCCCACCTGGCGTGCTGGTTGCGTGCTGGTTGCGTGTTTTCTTTGCGCGGCTGTCTTGTTGCGACTTCCCTGTCAGCTGTCATGAGCTATATCGTCATTATGGTTCAGCACGGTATAGTGCACCCTTTTCCTCCTCTGCTCACCTTGACTCGTGTTAGTGTTACATGTGTGTGTCTGATCTGATGTATGTGTGTGGCATGGGATGCATGGCGCGCGTGGGATGCATGGCGCGCGTGGGATGCATGGCACGCGTGGGATGCATGGCGCGCGTGGGATGCATGGCGCGCGTGGGATGCATGGCACGCGTGGGATGCATGGCACGCGTGGGATGCATGGCACGCGTGGGATGCATGGCACGCGTGGGATGCATGGCAAGCAGGCTGGCAAGCCATGCGGACTACGGCCCTCTTGTGCTGCAGTGCATGGAGGGAATGGCGCATGGCGGCGAAGCAGGGGAGCGGCAGGGGCGAGCGGGAGATGGAGGCGAAGGGAAAATGAGAAGAGCCGAGGAGGGAGTTGAAGAGGAAGGGGAAAAAAGGGGGGATTTGGGTAGCAGCATAACGGACAAGGGATCTGAAGAGAGGATGTGGATGGAGAGCAGTGAGGGTGAGAGGGCGTGGGGGCGAGGCGAGATGGATTTCTACCCGCTTGCAGGCGACCCTACTGCCCTCAGCACGTGTGAGTGCCTGCTTGCCCTCTGCGGTGCTGACTCCTGTCTCCTCCTGACTGCCAGTTCGGGAGCATGCATCGTTGCTGCTGGCGAATGATGCATCAGGCATTCAGCCTTACGGCCTTATTCCATGTGACGCACATTTGCCATGTGATTAAGGTCTCTGGGGTTGGGTCGGCTGCATGTCCTGGGAACGGTATTATTACGGCCTGGGGTCATATACAGTGCTTGTGTGTGTGGCTGGCACGCGTTTCACTTCTCGCCGCCTCCTTTCGCTGCCTGCTAAATAAACACACCCGATATCCCCTTCCATCCTCGTCCATCCCATGCGCATGCCATACATGTTCCCTCTCCATTCCGCATCTGCAAACACTCATCGCAACAACATCATGCTCGCTTGTCACGACGGCCAGTGATGGTGAGGAATGGCGGCGTGTTCCCCAGGAGCTTCTCGGAGCTGCGGCTGCTGCGCCAGCAGTACAGGGCCATCCTGGAGTCCACGTGGCCTGCCTGCACTGCTGCCTTCCCGCATTCTGCGGGGGCACTCAGCACCGGGGGCGGCTGTGACTCAGGGGGTGAAATGGGCGGAGAGGAGGGGCATGTGGATGGGGACGGTGCGACTGGGCATGGGAATGGGCATGGGGATGGGCGGGGAAGAGGAGAAAGGCCATGCCAGTCGGCTGGGGAGGGAGGGGGGGCAGGAGCAAAAGGGGGCCGCAGCAGGAGGTTCAGGCCGCATGCCATCATCGCCAACCCGCCTGCTGCTGGTACTGCTGCACTTTCAAGCTACTAGAGTATGGCTCCTCGTTTGTGCCCCCCTTGCCCGTTTCTTCTCCTGCTGTTGCTTGTTACGGTTTGACTGTGCGCAAGCAGAGGATGGCATCCACTCGTCTCTTCCCCGCCGTCCCCTCCATACCTTCCCTTCCGCACTGATGCATTTCACTTTGACTTGCCGGTCGTTGTCCTTACCATTACCTGTCCACCAGGTCACATACACTGTGCGCAAAAGCTTGGGGCTCATCTCCACATCCTCTTCACCATGCCATGGCGGTATGTGCCACTTGTTCCTGCCATGCCATGTCATTCATATCATATCATATGATATCAAATCATATCATATCATATCATATCATATCATATCACATGCGTCTATGGATGTTTTCCATACTCCTTGTCCAACCTTCGACATTCCTTTTTCTCAGACTCCATCCCCCTCCCTCTCCAGATCCTCTCTCCCCCCCCTCATCCCTACCACCCACCTCTCCTCCCTGCCAGCCCCACGGCAGCATACGCGCACCCGTTTTCCCCCTCGGCGCTGCGCTCGCTGGCGTACATGTCGCCGGCGGTGCTGCGGGCATGGGTGCACCGCGGGTCGTACAGGCTGGTGGAGGCCTTTGTGGGCGCGGGCGTCTTGGACATCACCAACCAGGTCAGCTCTGCACCACCACGGCGCCCGGGCGCTATGGGGGGGTGACGGATGTGGGGTGACGGGTGAGGGGTGGGGAGTGAGGAGCTAGGGGCAAGGAATAAGGGGTGAGGGGTGCCCCTCAAATCCCCTTGCTCTACCCCTTGCTCTCCGCATCAAATCCCTTCTTCTCGTCTTTTTCTCTGCTTGCCTTTTCCTCGCTTCCCTTCCCTCCCCACGTCGCCCCCCCCTCCCGCATTCCGTGTCTTTCGCGCTGTCTTGCCCTCCTCTGATGGCTTTCCTCTTCACACCCTCCCCGCTATCCCCCACGCTGCAGTTCCGCACGCGCACCCTACACCTAGACCCTCTCTTCCTCACGGACCGTCCCTTCTCCCACCTGCTGCGCCTGCCCATCCCCTTCTCCTTCTCCTGGAGCCCTCTCCTCGCGCCCAAGCCAAGGTACTGTGCCACTCACCCCCTGCTACACTGCCGCTGGGTGTTCATGTGCCTGTGCTGCTCATGTGCCTGTGCTGCGCCCTCACTTTCCTTCAACTCTCTGTGTCTGCTTTTGTCGTACTCCATGCGTTCGTGCATTAAATGTGCGTCTGCGGGCATGCGTGCGGGTGTGTGCGTATATGGCCGGGTGGGGGAGTGCACGTGCGTGTGTGCGCTGGTATATCTTTGCATGGCAGTGACTGGAACGACCTGGTTGACGTGGTGGGCTTCATTCACCCCCCACTGCATCATGCACCCAGCGCTAGAGAAGCCAGTGCCGTGCCGCCACCAACACCACCATCCTCGCCCCCATCTGAAGCACGGACTCTTGAGTCGGCACCCCTGCCTGAATCACCTACACTACCTGCATCAGAGGAGGAGGCAGCAAGACCTGCAGCAGCAGCAGCAGTAGCAGCAGCAGGAGGCGAAGCAGGCGAGAAAGAGGAACAAGGGGAACGCAAACCAGCACCGCCAAGCGATCCACTCCCGCCGTCTCCGCCCTCCTTCCACCCTCCGCCCGCCCTCGTGTCCTTCCTCGCCGAGGGTCCCGCACCTCTCTTCGTGGCGTATGGCAGCATGCAGCTGAGCAAACCATGCTACGTGGCCCGCTGTGTGCTCAAGGCTGTGGGCCTGCTGGGCGTGCGAGCCATCATTGGCAGCGCTGCCATTCGCCAGCACCGCTGCTGCTCCTCCTCCCACTGCCTCGTGGCTGGAGGGCGCACCCGCAGGGGGGGAAAGGGACGTGCAGGTGTGGGCGGGAGGGTTGAGGAAGGGGGAGGGAAGCGTGAGGGGAAAGGCCGTCAAGGCAGGCATGCGGAGAGGAATGTGGCAGGGAGGGAAGCAGGAGGGAGTGTGGAGGGCGGAGGTACTCAGGGGGGAGCAGAGGAAGGGGGTGGGGGTGGGGAGGGAGAAGGGGAGGGCGAGTGTGAGGTGGTGCAGCAAGGGGGTGTGCTGTTTGTTGGGTCTGTGGCTCATGACTGGCTCTTTCCCCACTGCTCTGCCACGGTGAGGCAAACCACCCACAGCACTCTGTGGCACAAGTAGAGCTTAAATAGCCAGTCCCTCACACCCCTCGCGGCATACCCTTGTTCCTTTTTCTCTAGCTGTCTTGCATGAAGGGTTTCAACCCTTGTTTCCGTTGGGCGCACCTGTTTTTTTAGAATTCTCCAAAAACAGATTCAGCCTTTCCATCGGGCGCAGCACATCTCTTCCTACTGCTGTCCGTCTCTCCCTTCTCCTCTGTCCTCTTGTTCTCCCGTGGTGATGCGCGCGTGGTGTGGTGTGGTGTGGTGTGGTGTGGCATGGGCAGGTGCACCATGGGGGGGCGGGCACAGTGGCAGCATCTATCAGGGCGGGCTGCCCCATCCTGCCCATGCCGTTCTTTGGAGACCAGCACTTCTGGTACCCCACTCCTGCACTCTACCACACGCCACTCTACCACACACCACTCTACCACACTCAGATGAGTCCGTTTTTTGAGTCGACGCAGAAGTCTTGCTCGTGTTTCTATACACCGGTTCTGTCTACCACAAGGCACACAGCTCCTTATCATCACTCCATACAATCCGTGGTCCTCTTGCATGCACGTGCACCTCTTCCCCCAATCTCCCCCCAGGCCTGCTGTGCTGCACAGCCTGGGCGTGGCCCCGCCTGCTCTGCCCATCCACCGCATCTCCCCTCGCCGCCTCCTCTCCTCGCTGCGCCTGCTGCTGCAGCCTGCTCTCAAGGCGCGTGCCATGCAGCTCAAGAACAGCTTCCTTCTCGAGTACGTGCCCCCTCTCCTCTCCAACACCGCGCCGCTGCCTGCTCTTTCAGCTGCCCTTTGCAATCCCTGCTTTCCCTTCTTGTGCTATGCCGCAGCGCCTGCCCTCCTTCCCCACGTATCTTTCCATGCAGCCACAACGGCGGCAGTGAATCAATTGCTCAGCTTCTGCTTGCTCTCTGTCTCCCAGCCCCCTCCTCACCCACTTAATTCGCTCCCCTCCCTCCCCCCCCCGCGCGTGCGGCGCTCTCACGCTGCGCAGGGGCAATGGGCTGCTGCGAGCAGCTCACTCCTTCCACCTGCACCTGCCACCTCGCCTGCGTTGCCTGCTACACGAGGGGCCAGAGCAGGCGGACAGGATGCGTGGAGGCAGCAGAGCGTCAGATGTGTTAGGGCTGTGTGGCAATCCAGTGCCATGCGGAGGAGAGCGTGAGGGAGTTCACGACAGCTGTGTAGGTAGCTCTCAGCAGCAGGACAGGCAAGGGGTTGCTGGGCAGGAGATGGAGGAGAAGATGAGGGGGCAGGAGGCAGAGATTGAGGTGGAGGCATTGCCTAGAAGGCGGCGTTTTTTGCCCAAGAGTTGGGTGTTCTGGAAGCGAAAGGGACACCAAGAGCAGCCTTCTGACTCGCAGGTGAACGCTGTGTCTCTTATTCTGGTACTTGTAACATTCAATGAGCTTTTGTGGCCTCCAGCCAGTGAATTCTACCTTGTCCTTTTGTGCGCTCAGGAAGCTTCTAGGGAAGGAGCATCAACAGCTGAGTGGGACCGAGTGCTCTACCAACGTCGCTCACATGCTCTCTTCATAGCCGTCTATAGAGTACCTTCAGCCATTGCAAGTGTTTTCACATCGAAACCTAGTGCCGCACAAGCATAGTACGTCTTCAAGTTTTCCGTATCTTCATGTGGATATGTTCTTGGTGCGCTGATAAGATTTTAATACTGCTGGTGTAGTTTGATGACCAAATTATATTATTTCAGTCCTAATCTCCAAGACAAGATACGGTAACCCCACCCTCCCCTAGCCCCCCACTCTTTCCCGCACCCCCTCTCCCCTCATGGAAAATCGAATACAGTATACTTGTGTTGTTCGGTTTTAGTGTAGTCATCGTTATAAGCCTCCACGTCCTACAATAATTGTCACAATTACTGTAGGCCCACAATTATTTTGAGGGTAGAGGGTAAATTATTGGTACACCATTATTGGTGTGAATGGGGTCGTCATACGAGGGGTAGATAATGCATAAATACCCAGCTGTGTCACTTGTTCATCACCATTCCATCATTCAATGATCAATGCAAGATTTCTACCTTGTTCTTTTCTACAAGCACGTTTCCGCTAAGCTAGCACAATGCCTTTCTAGCATCCCCCTCCCCTTGAATGCCGAAATCTCCGAAATTGTGACATGACTCTGCAAGGAGTCTACGATGCAGTGTCATAGTTGTGAGTGGCACGTTCCACCATGAGGTGGTGAACCGGTTTTGACAGTTTTGCACCACGTCCTTAGGCGCACGCCAACTGAATTGAGCACATACTTCTTCGCCTGCCCTGCCAAATTCGTCATGAAAGCAGATGGAACGTTATGGGGACGTGAACAAATGTTGATAACACTTTCAAAGATCACAGGTTACACAACTAAGTCAACGAAAAAACTGTATGTTCGGAAAACCCCAGAAGGAGGTTTGGTGGGAAAATCGAGAACCAATCGCGTCAAAAACCCGCTCAAATCCTTCGACCAATCACGCGAAAGTGGTGCAAGTTTTGGGGCCGACTCGGTAATTCTGGATGTTGTCAAGACAGTAAGCAGGAATGATTGCATTTAATGAATTGAGGGTACAAGTACTAACCCTAATATTGGGTTGTACCCCATATGGGCTACCCCACTATAACCTACACACAACTAGCACAGATGTGGTTTGACACACCCCCATAGGCAAAGTGGGGAGAACAAGGGGTCACAAGACCAGTCAAGAAAAGCAAAGCAAGCTCAGGGTGGATCACAACGTCACCACGCACTTCGAGCACAAGCAAGAGGGCCAGGGTTTAGGGTAGAGGTATATATGCAACAGCAACAGTGCAGTGATCACTACCTACCAAGAGTAAACATGCAGGCATATATATGTGTATATATCACAGTACAACCAAAGTCTACAGCAAGTGAGGAAACGTAGGCACCAGGCCTAGAGCAGTGTAGTAGCGCTGATGATCACCAGCTGGAAGGGCCTTGGTGAAACATTAACCGTGTTGGCCTGGGTGGGCACATGAGCAACACGAAGCTGACCACACTGCTGCAACTCTCAAGCAAGGAAGTAACGCAGAGCGATGTGCTTCGTTCTGTGCTCCAGTCTGTGGTCCTGACACAAGGCAATGGCAGCCTTGTTGTCGACGTACAGAACTGGAGGAGAACGAGGCCTCTCTCCCGAGTCGGTCAGCAGGTAGGTGAGCCAGCGTAACTCCTGTGCAGCCATGGCCCCTGCGTAGATCTTAGCCTCACAATTGGAGCTGAGAACAGAAGACGAGCGTGTAGACCGCCAAGAAATAGAGCCAGAGCCAAGGCTGAACGTGTAACCTTGTGACGACCGCTGCGTAGCCAGGTCGTCAACCCAAGAAGCGTCTGAGTGCCCAGTGAGGACAACTGGACTCTTCCCTCCAAGCACGAGCCCCATGACGGATGTACTGCACAAGTAGCACAGTACCCTCTTCGCAGCACTGAAGTGCACCTTTCGGTGCCTACCAGGAGCCACGTAGCGTGCCAGAAGGCCAAGAGGGTACGCAAGGTCAGGACGAGTGCGGGTCATTAGGTACATGAGGCAGCCCACTAGCTCTGGGTACGGGCCACTCGGCTCTACGGACTCGTCCGAAGGTGGAGCTGAGAGCGAGTGACGTGTAGCCAGGGGAGTGGACAATGGCGAGGATCTAGTGAAGCCAAAGCTCTAAAGGACCTGCTGCACCATCTGTGATTGAGTCAGTGTGATGGTGCGGCGTGCTCTGTCCCAGGTGATCTGCAGGCCAAGGTAGTTACGCAGCTCACCCAGGTCTGTGCACGTGTGTCTCTTCTGCAGCTCCGACTTCACAAGGGCAAGTGCCTCAGTGTCAGCATTGACAAAAACCAAGTCGTCGACATACACGAGTAGCAGTAGTAGCACAAGCAGCAGGGCGGATCAGGTTGGGCAGGGTGGCTCGGCTCGGCCTGCGCGGGCAGCAGGGCGCGCGCTGTGCAGGGCAGCAGGGCGCGACGCGCGGCTGCAGCAGAGCGAGACGCGCGGGGCAGCAGCGCGCGACTCGCGGGCTACCGTGGGGCGCGACGCCGGGGGCAGCAGGGCGCGACGCGCGAACTGCAGCAGAGCGCGACACGCAGGGTAGCAGCGTGCGACTCACGGGCTGCCATAGGGCGCGACGCGCGGGCTGCCGTAGGGCGCGACGCGCGGGCTGCCGTAGGGCGCGACACGCAGGGCAGCAGCGTGGGCGTAGGGTAGGGCGCAGTCGCAGGGCAGGGCGCTGGCGCAGGGCAGGGCGCCGGCGCAGGGCAGGGCGCTGGCGCAGGGCAGGGCGCTGGCGCTTGTTGTGTATACAGGTGTTCCGGTTTAGAGGCCCTCGCTAAGAGAGTCCCTTTTCCCCCTAATGTAGAATTTTCCGATATGTCTTAGGGTTGGCCCCTCATGTATAGTCTCGCTGTGGGTAGCACACAGTGTACAGAAGGTGGAGAAGCTTCTGTCACGATTATGCGAATCAGTCCCTCAACCAATAGAATGCCCCAGTCATCTCAAGTTTGCGACGTGCTCAACACCAGCGCAAAAAGAACTTTCTCGAAATATCAGGCTAGCGAAAAAATTGCGCGGTTCTCACCCACGTCATCCAAGCTCGAATCAACCCTGAGTGCCACGTCAGGAGTTCTCTTACCCCTCATGAACCAGGTGGGGGGGGTTGACGAGACTTCTAAGGCAGTTGACCAATGTCTGATTCACGTCACCGTTCCAATCGACACGCTTGCTCGCCTCTCTAAGCGCCAGAGAATCTGTCAGCACTTTGGGCTCAACCCCCACCTGCGTCATGAAGACCTTGCATGGTGGTGCTTCACTAGGTTTGGAATCCGCCCCGATCGCAGCACGATCGGCAAGATCCTGCGTGGCGAGAAGAAGTGGCGTGCTGCGACGAAGGTCCATGGTCGAACATTTTGCCTGCGGCAGCCCATGTTCCCCCAGCTTGAGCATCGGCTCGGTAGTTGGATTCGCCGCGCTTGTGAGGCAGGCGTTACCTTGTCCCTGCGCCTGATTCAGGAAAAGGCCAGATCGCTCCGCCGCGAATTGAACATCAATCGCCGGTTCCTATGCTCGCTCACCTGGGTGCATCGCATGATGCTCCGGATGGGGTTCCGTAATCTCACTCGCACTGGTGAGGCTGCCGCGGCTGACATGGACGCCGTGATGACGTGGACGGTTCTGAGACGTTCTGCCCCATGGTGATCTCAAAGGTTCGGCGCCCGCGGGACTTCACCGACAGTCGATTCGACCCCGAGCCGTACGTGTAATGGCGCTACAACAAACACGGCTGGATGACAAGCGAGGTGAGTGTGGTTGTTTTCCTGTCTGGTGCCTAAGGGAATTTGCCTATGTCTCGGTTGTGTCCGTATTTGCCACGCGTGCTACTCATTTCATCACCAAAATGTTGCTGACCCAGAGGTGACCCACAAGTAACTTTTAGGCAAGATTTGGGTCATTTGAAGATCTGACCCGAAAGTTACTTTTGGGACTGTCACTTTAGGTTACTTTGAGGTTAGGTATGGGTCACATTGGTTAACCCTAAAGTGACATTGGGGTCAGTTATGGGTCAAGTACGGGTCAGGTACGGGTTTGTTCTTGTACCTTCTAGGTCAGGTACGGGTCATTTCAAAGTGCCCAGAAGTGACATTTAGGTCAGATTTGGGTTACTATCAGGACAATTTAGGGTTAGATACTGTGCTGTGCGTATCCCTGATACAGCACGCTTCATTTTTGTAATAAGCAGCTTTTTGTATAAAATATATAAGATATACTTCGTAATACATAACCTCCAAACTACAATTACAGCATGACTACATAAGAAACAAGTTAGCATGATAGGCCTTTGTACATTTGCTCCGGAATAGATATACATATCTCATGGCTCGAAATTACCTGGCGACACAAAAACAACAAACATAAGAAAGTGAAAGGAATAATTCACGAGGAAAATTCCTTAAGAAGAAAACCAAAACAGACCTTTTGAAATCATCACATTTACTTTAGGGATTGCATAATAAAAATAATAAAAATAAAAATCTTCCAAGCGTGTACTCCTGCCAGCTTGTTAAAATGGCGGACAGTTACGGCGGCGCGGAAGCTGTCGAGACGCGGAAATGGTGGCAACGAACCTCAGTTAATTCAAATATATCTGTGAGAATCTGAGGAAGGAATGA